ACGAATTACACGCGCGAGCTTGCGAGCTCATCTGCATCTCAATCGAATCTCAGGGGGGCGCCGTGTGTATAAGGGTCGCGTGACACTGCGGTTTATCTATGCCAACTACTGTACACGAGTGGATTGCCGAAACGGACTTGGTGTTCTTCATACCCGGCTTCAGGGTTGACACTTGCCGGTAGAAAACCGTCCTCTTGGCGGAGTCCTCGCCCGTTCGGCCGGTATTAGACTTGCGAGGACGTGGATTTCCCCAAGGTCGCTACGCACTTCGATGACAAATATGATACCGCCCTCGCTCGCATTCGGGCCCTCGAGGTCAAGATGCATGAGCTCGAGACAGAGGTTCATCAGCCTGTGGAGTGGCCCGAATTCACCCGCAAGCGCAAGGCGGTGCGCAAGTGATTAGGGCATCGGCCGTCTCTCGCCCGCCTAGTAATCGTCCCAATTCACAAAGCCATAGATCATCTGCTCTGTCCACACCTCGAGTGCGTGTAATACTTTAAAGAAGAGATCCTTTGGCATCCCGCCCGCCATTTGTCTATCATACACAGTTAGCATAAGGGTTAGGGTTGTAATCAGAACATACGTACGTCCCTTTCTCATCTGTGAATAAGCGAGATAAGTTTAGGGTTACAGTGTCGGAGCTATCAGGATGGGGGCTTGGATTAGGGTTACACACTGGTGACAAGCCGTGTCAGGGGGGTATGACACTGGATGCGCCTGGACGTGTCCCGGACACCCCCCTCCCCGAGACGTGTCCAGGACAGGACCGTGCCCGGGCCTGACCTGTCCGGTCGTACGCATATCCCCCCACACGAGCAAATAGCAAAATCCGAATACCGTGCAGAAACCATGTGATCTGCGCCGTGCAAGCCTTCAGCTGGTGCCAAGACGTTTTACGGGAGCACTGCAGCAACCAACCAGCCGGGGGCTATTGCAACATATATGGAGAGCCTCCTGCGTGACCTCCGGGACGCGCGCGACGCCTGCGGTCTCAGCCCTACCTGGCCGTTCTATATTATAGAATGGCATCCTATAATGTAGAATGGCGTCTCGCGCGCGCTCACCCGGCCGCCTCGCAGCCCCAGCGGCCGGGGGGCGCTTGCCGGGGTTGAGGCTGGTCACACACAGGCGCCACTTTAACGCGGCGAGCCAGAGGAGTCACACAGGAGAGCCCCCAACACGCCACATTTTCAGCAGCAGACGGGCCGCGGTGAGGGCCCATTCTACATCGAAGAATGGGGTCCGCCGCCGTCCCCCACGGCCTCCTCACGCCCCCAGCGGCAGCGTGCCGCTCGGCCAGACTGGTGGGGTTCGCGACAAGCGCCAGTTCAACACAGAGAAGCCCAACAGTCCGCAAATGAGAGTCCTCCCCCCCGCCCCGGCAAACCAGAGCAGACGCCGGGGGCCGCGTATGGCGAAAGCAAACGCACGACGGCCGCCGGCAGCCGTTGAGCCGCTGCCGCCGTTCGAGCCTTGGATGTCCGTCCGTCGCCGCCTGTGGCGAGGGCAGTGGAAGTGTGAGATTTGTGCTCGCAAGTGGTGGGCGGGCGAAAGGGTCGGGCGGCAGAAGTGAGCAGACAGCGCGAATGAATGCGGTCTACCTATGTCACATCTACTCCTCGTGTCACCTAGTCATGGTCCTCGCTTCCCTGCCCGGTCTCCGAGTCCTGCGCCTCGCCTGAGTCCTCGTCCAAGTTCGAGTAGTCCTCTCCTCGTCTTCGTCCTCGTCTTCGTCCTCTTCGTCGATCTCGTCGAGCCGGGTGGCTCCTGGCCCGTCCCGGCCGTGACGCTGGGGCCGACTTGCTAAGCGGGCGGGGAGACGGACCGCCAGCTCTGCTGCTGCCTGTGCTGCCCGTAGTCCTCGCCTGCGAGCGAGTGCCCTTTGCGGGGCTGTCGCTCAGAGAGCGGGTGTCGCCACGGCCGTCTTCTTATCTGGTTTGTGGTCTGCGCGCTGCGCTGCGCTGCGCGTCTCGAGGCGCGCCGCAACACAGCCCGTGTAAATGGGGTAATGGATAAACCAAGCATCCCCGATGGCCGGGGGGATGTCCCATGGCCCCGGGGTGGCCGTGGGCACGCAGGGGGCGCCGCTACGGGCCGCTGCGGCGCCCATTCTATTTCGAAGAATGCCATTCTGGAATATAGAATGTAGGTCTGAGACCGCCTGCAACAAGCTAGCTGCCTTTTGACGATGCGCTGCGCGACAAGATAGCTGCCGAACTGGATCGCATCGAGGCTGGGGCAGGGGCGGCTCAGGATCACAGACATCCCTCTCAGGATCACAGCACCGGCGGGGGCGCGCCTCAGGATCAAGCACCCACGGCAGGGTCTGTGAGGATCAGCAGACCTGGAGGGGGCGCGCTGAGGATCATAGGCCTGAGAGGGGTGCTGTCAAGATCACAGGGCTGCAAAGGGTGGCACTGATAGAGGGCAAAAAGATCGATTGCGCTCTTGCCGATCCGCACCTACCTAGGCTCTTGGGTGGCGCGCCCCAGCTCTTCACAACGAAACTGGTTACCTCCCCAACCCACCGATGATAGGCCACGCACTCCGGCACGCCGCTGCAGCGTGCTTTCTGCTGCCGCTGCTGCTAACTCTCCTCTTGACGAGCCCAGAGCAGCTATCTGCCATTAACGACACCGATCGTGCTGCCGTTGCGCTCTTCAACTACATCGGCGACGCCTCCTTCGCATTGACTGGCGCGCTTGCCGCGGGCGAGGAGGGAATGGATCTCATGGGCTGCCTTGTCGTCGGCTTCGTCACAGCGCTCGGAGGCGGCACCTTTCGAGACATTGTGCTCGGGCGGACACCAGTCTTCTGGCT